AGACCCACTTGGACCCAACACAATAGATGGTTGGGACCCACTTTAATATTTAATTAAAGTCACCAAAAAACCAATTTTTCCAACAAAAAATATATGCACTAGCATGCCAAATGGCCATTTGGCGTGGTACAAATTACTATCGTAATCTATACCACGACAACAAGATAATCTATATACAACGCCAGTAATTATCCTGTCAATGCCAAAAGTTATCCGTATGAGTAATACTAATCCACAAGAGTAGAAGATGACAAAATTAGCAGGATTATACAAAAGTCTAACTTGTCCTCCATATACAAAAATAGATTATTCACAAGTCCACGCCATAAGTCATCTACAAAAAAAAAAAATATACAACCATTAGTATCCAAAATGTATGGTTGAATGTATATATTTATTCATGTGTTTTAAAACTAATAGTAATGCATTAATGATAGCCTTTTGTTGATCACTGTGATCTGTCCCTTTATTTTTATTTTTTTAATTAATGGAAATGGAAATTTGATCATGCAGTAGATAAGAAAAATTATCAATAATGCATATGCATGCATTATAATAGTATTAGTTCATCATGCTACGATTACAATATCAAACCCACAAAACTGTAGAAATCAAACCAAAGAATAAGCAAACCCATTTACGGCATCAAACCTAGGAGTGTAAAAATGACTCGTGGCTCGGGGTGGGCCCGGCCCGATTAGGCTCGGGCTCAAGCCCTGACCGAGACCTTGGGCCTGGGCTTGGGCCATCATTTTGAAACTCGTGGGCCCGCTCATGGCCCACTCAAAGACCGGCTTGCCCCGGGGCCAGTGTCATTTTTTATTGAAAAAAATAAATTTTTGGTGAAAAGAATAGAAAAAATAAATAAATAATGTTCAAGCCCTGCCCAAGCCCAAGCTCAAGCCCACCAGCCCAAATCTCCCATGGGATTGAGCCTAATTTTTTGGCCCGTGGGCCGGGCTGACCCGGCCCGAATTTTGGCGAGAGCCTGCGAAACTCGCCATGGGCTGGCCTGAGCCTGTGCCCAGGCTCGGGCCGAGCCAAATTTACACGCCTAATCAAATCCATAAAACTATAGAAATCAAACTAGTTAAACCAAACCCATTTCAAAAATCAATACGAAATCATATAAAACCCTAGAGCTGAGAAATAGGAAAATAGAGAGAGAGAGAGAGAGAGACAGAGAGAGAGACAGACAGACAGACAGAGACAGAGAGCGAGCGAGCAAGGGAGCAAGCAAGAGAGCCAGAGAGAGGGGAGAAAGAGAAAGAACCTGTTCGTATTGCGATGGTGGCGGTAGTGATTTACGGCGGTGGCAATGTGCGGCGAACGTGAGCAACGGTGGTGAGTGACTTTAATGAAGTGAGAAGAGGTGGGGTTCTCTGTATGGGAGAGTGACAGAGGAAAACAATGTAAATCTAGGCACCAATCATACAAATTTTCCCACTAAAATTTTATAAAGCTTTTAGCGACGAAAACATTTTTGAGTCGGCTTAAGTTGACTATTTGGCGACTAATTGTTCTTTTGCTGGAAAAAATTAAGTATACCGCAACTACATATTTTTTAGTTGCCAAAAATGCATATTTGCCCACCAAACTCTTAGTCGCCAAAGAGTAACAGTACAATTATGGCTATTATTTGATGAGTAAATTTATTTTAGTCGGCAAAAATTTGTATACTACAACTAAAATAAAATTTAGTAGCCTAAAAACTAGAGTAACGGCAACTAATATTTTTTTTAGTCGCCTATTGTGGAATATTTATCGACTAATATTTTTTGTAGTCACCAATAAATAATATATGTCGACTAAAATAATTTAGTCGCAAAAAGCCAAACCAACGGCAACCAAAATCATATTTAGTCGCCAAAAATTGAACTTTTGGCGACTAAATCCCTTTTGGTCGCCAAATTTGGTCGCCAAAAGTGTAAATTGTTGTAGTGCATGGTGGTGGTAGCAGTAGCGTCGATAGTGGTGGTGATGGTGGTGGATGTCATGGCAGAAACAATGGTAATAGTAATAAATTGATAGTGGTGCTTGCGACAACAATAACAATGGTGATGAAGATGATGATAGTAGTGGTGGTGGTGGTAGCGGCAGCGGTAGCGGCGGCGACAGCGGCGGCATGATGGTGATGTTGGTTATAGTGGTGACGGTGATGATAACGGTGACGGAGGCATGGTGGCAATGGTGGTGGTGGTGACATGGTGGTGGTGACGTGATGGCAATAAATGTGATGGTGGTAGTGAGTTATAGAACATAATGTATTTTTAGTATTTATAAATTCAATTAGAATTATAGAACATAGTGTATATCGATATTTATATCATATGAAACTTATTTAATTCTCATTGAATTTATAAATACTAAATATAAATATCGATATACACTATGTTCTCATTGAATTTATAAATACGTAGTCCACAAATAGAATAGCCAAAATCATTGAAAATTGAATGAGAAATTGTATATCGATATTTATATTTAGTATTTATAAATTCAATGAGAATTAAATAAGTTTCATATGATATAAATATCGATATACACTATGTTCTATAATTCTAATTGAATTTATAAATACTAAAAATACATTATGTTCTATAACTCACTACCACCATCACATTTATTGCCATCACGTCACCACCACCATGTCACCACCACCACCATTGCCACCATGCCTCCGTCACCGTTATCATCACCGTCACCACTATAACCAACATCATTATCATGCCGCCGCTGTCGCCGCCGCTACCGCTGCCGCTACCACCACCACCACTACTATCATCATGTTCATCACCATTGTTATTGTTGTCACAAGCACCACTATCAATTTATTACTATTACCATTGTTTCTGCCATGACATCCACCACCATCACCACCACTATCGACGCTACTGCTACCACCACCATGCACTACAACAATTTACACTTTTGGCGACCAAATTTGGCGACCAAAAGGGATTTAGTCGCCAAAAGTTCAATTTTTGGCGACTAAATATGATTTTGGTTGCCGTTGGTTTGGCTTTTTGCGACTAAATTATTTTAGTCGACATATATTATTTATTGGTGACTACAAAAAATATTAGTCGATAAATATTCCACAATAGGCGACTAAAAAAAATATTAGTTGCCGTTACTCTAGTTTTTAGGCTACTAAATTTTATTTTAGTTGTAGTATACAAATTTTTGCCGACTAAAATAAATTTACTCATCAAATAATAGCCATAATTGTACTGTTACTCTTTGGCGACTAAGAGTTTGGTGGGCAAATATGCATTTTTGGCAACTAAAAAATATGTAGTTGCGGTATACTTAATTTTTTCCAGCAAAAGAACAATTAGTCGCCAAATAGTCAACTTAAGCCGACTCAAAAATGTTTTCGTCGCTAAAAGCTTTATAAAATTTTAGTGGGAAAATTTGTATGATTGGTGCCTAGATTTACATTGTTTTCCTCTGTCACTCTCCCATACAGAGAACCCCACCTCTTCTCACTTCATTAAAGTCACTCACCACCGTTGCTCACGTTCGCCGCACATTGCCACCGCCGTAAATCACTACCGCCACCATCGCAATACGAACAGGTTCTTTCTCTTTCTCCCCTCTCTCTGGCTCTCTTGCTTGCTCCCTTGCTCGCTCGCTCTCTGTCTCTGTCTGTCTGTCTGTCTCTCTCTCTGTCTCTCTCTCTCTCTCTCTCTATTTTCCTATTTCTCAGCTCTAGGGTTTTATATGATTTCGTATTGATTTTTGAAATGGGTTTGGTTTAACTAGTTTGATTTCTATAGTTTTATGGATTTGATTAGGCGTGTAAATTTGGCTCGGCCCGAGCCTGGGCACAGGCTCAGGCCAGCCCATGGCGAGTTTCGCAGGCTCTCGCCAAAATTCGGGCCGGGTCAGCCCGGCCCACGGGCCAAAAAATTAGGCTCAATCCCATGGGAGATTTGGGCTGGTGGGCTTGAGCTTGGGCTTGGGCAGGGCTTGAACATTATTTATTTATTTTTTCTATTCTTTTCACCAAAAATTTATTTTTTTCAATAAAAAATGACACTGGCCCCGGGGCAAGCCGGTCTTTGAGTGGGCCATGAGCGGGCCCACGAGTTTCAAAATGATGGCCCAAGCCCAGGCCCAAGGTCTCGGTCAGGGCTTGAGCCCGAGCCTAATCGGGCCGGGCCCACCCCGAGCCACGAGTCATTTTTACACTCCTAGGTTTGATGCCGTAAATGGGTTTGCTTATTCTTTGGTTTGATTTCTACAGTTTTGTGGGTTTGATATTGTAATCGTAGCATGATGAACTAATACTATTATAATGCATGCATATGCATTATTGATAATTTTTCTTATCTACTGCATGATCAAATTTCCATTTCCATTAATTAAAAAAATAAAAATAAAGGGACAGATCACAGTGATCAACAAAAGGCTATCATTAATGCATTACTATTAGTTTTAAAACACATGAATAAATAGATACATTCAACCATGCATTTTGGATACTAATGGTTGTATATTTTTTTTTTTTGTAGATGACTTATGGCGTGGACTTGTGAATAATCTATTTTTGTATATGGAGGACAAGTTAGACTTTTGTATAATCCTGCTAATTTTGTCATCTTCTACTCTTGCGGATTAGTATTACTCATACAGGTAACTTTTGGCATAGATAGGATAATTACTGGTGTGGTAAATAGATTACCTTTTTGTCGTGATATAGATTATGATGGTAATTTGTACAACGCCAAATGGCCATTTGGCATGCTAGTGCATATATTTTTTGTATACGGAGTGCCTAATTTTTGTATGATTCTATGTTTTGTATGGAATTACTATTTTAGTTTAGACTATCTATAGTTGGTTTGTATGGAATTTAACATTTAATGTTATTCCTTTTTGGATGGTTGAAAGTAAAATGGATATTGATTGTGGGATGATTGATAATATATATATATATATATATGTATGTATATGTATTATTTTATTCATATATATAGTACAGGTTGTGTGTAATACATATAGGTTGTGGACAAATTAGAATTTTGAGAAAAAACATAAAATCATGTTTTTGGCGACCAAACAATCCATAGGCAAAAAGGCAATATATATTTTAGTGACTAAATAGTTAGTAGCTAAAAAAAGAAAATGAAAAAAAAAAAATTGGCGATTAAAAGTCTAGTAGCCAATATACAATCAGATTTTAGGCGACAAAAATGTTTAGTAGCTAAAAAAGGCAAAAAAACAACAAAAATATTTTGGCGACGAAGGCAAAAACAAGACTTTAGGTGACTAAAAGTTTAGTAGCCAAAAAAAAAAAAAAAATCAAACTTTAGATGACTAAAATATTTAGTAGCAAAAAAAAAAAAGATGAACAACAAAATATTTTTGCCGACTAAAGGTTTAGTAGGTAGCAACAAATCAGACTTCAGGCGACTAAAAGTTTAGTAGCCAAAAAACAATCAAATTTTAGGCGACTAAAATATTTCGTAGCTAAAAAAAATTAGATGAAGCACCAAATATTTTTAGGGATGGTTTGTGATGATCTAAATAAGTGCATTTTTTGACTTTTTATGAAAAAATGTACAGAAAAGTAGAGAGGTGATGTGATGAAAAAAAGATAAAAAGTGTGTACTTATTAGTACACCCCCAAACAAGGCTTTAGCAACTAAAATTTTATTTGTTATAAATAATTGAAGTTTTTCGTGACAACAAGTTATAGTCGCTGAAAATGTTATATTTAATTTTACTTTAATACTTTTGGCGACTAAAAAAATAGTCGGCCAATTACTTTTTCCGACAATTCTCCAATGACTAACCTACCGACTAAAACTTTTAGTCGCTAAAAACCTTCGGTGACTAAAATTTGACTTTTGGCGACTAAAAATTTAGTAGGCAAAAGTGCCATTTGTTGTAGTGGTGCCACCACCACCACTACCACTACTACCACCACCTACCATCACCGTAACAATATAAAATTAAAATATACAATTTTAAAAGAATAAATTTTAGATTTGATTTTATACATATTGAATAATCTATTTTTAGTTTAACACTTAAATTGAGGAATTTTTTAATCTTATGGCCATTAACGCAAAACATACATATAATTTTTTGTTTGAGATGATCTAAATAAGTATACTTTTTAACTTTTTACGAAAATATGTGTAGAAAAGTAAAGAGATAATGTGACATAAATAAGTGCAGTGCACTTATTTAGTTTATATCAAATAGTTTGCAAAATAAATGTGAACAAAAGAAAATTATGTATTTCACTAATCGAGTTGAATTCCTAATCATACACTTATTTTATAAATTATTAATCCTCTCACTATTAATCATGCTAATCAAATAGCCTGGTATGGCATATATATTTTTTAGTGTTTATTCTAGAATGACCATAAGTTTAACTCAAAAGTCTATTTCTTTAAATGGATTTTTTGTTTATAGTTTTTTATTTTTTGGTATATTGGAAATTAGTTTTTGACAGACTTGTTAGAGCATTAGCATCAAGATCGTTAAGCTAAATTAATGATATAAACTTCAAAAAACCACCTCCAACAGTCTCGCTTGCAACTCGTCAAAATTGCGTTTGCTACAGTATCTCGCTACAACAACAAGTGAGGTATTGTTCATCGCTACTTGTGTATTGCCGAATATCTGCTCAGAAGTCCGCCCGGACGCTGGCCGGTCAATGACTTTTTTTTTTTTTTTTGCATTTATTCCATTTTTACCTTTACAAAGGAACATAAGAATTGTTTGGCTAGCAGCTCATCAATTTAATAAAAAAAAAGAATAACAAATATTTTAATAGAATTGAGTTAGAATAAAGTGTTTGATGCAGTGAGGTGATTAGTTAAAATAAAAAAACAACTTTTTAGTTATAATTTGATTAAAAATTTAAAGAGATTGGTGTGAATCTCTTAACAGGTCTTACATGAATCAATCAGGACCCCCGAAGAGTGTGGAATAATATAACAAGAGAGAAGGATTTTGAATGGTCAAAGTAATTGAAGTTACGTGTCATAAATTTAGAGCACATGGGATGGAAGAAGGGTGATTATTCAATGGTCTAAGAATACGATTACTTGATATTTTATGACAATATAATTGATGAAAAAAATAAAATATTATGATTTTATATTAAGTGATTGAAATATATAAAATGACATAATAAATAATAATTAGTGAAAGATTATAATCATGTGATATTCAAAAATTATCTAATAAATTTCCTGAGAGGAAAAATGCTAGTGACAGTAACATCTGAGTTGCGGCTTCTGTCCTTCGCTTCTCATGAAAATCTCAAAGCGAAGAGATGTTTATTATTTTAAGAAAAATATATTATATAATTTTTATAAAAAATTTAGGACATATTTTAATTATGAAAAATCATATACATATTTTTGTATTTATGAATTAAAGTGATAAATATTTTAATTCTGAATGAATGACTATAAATAAGACATATCATTTATGAAATTTTTATATACAAATTATATTTATATTGCACTATCATTTTTAAGATCATACTTGTTATTGATACAAATGTAATCTGATTAAATGATTATCATTGTGTGATCCACATGAGTTTTTTTGTAAGGATGACGTATTTTATAGACTTTACAAATTGAACAGTTTAAATTATCAAATTGTTGGCTTATTTTTCCTATGAAGGAAAATATCATAAATGCGAGCGTGCCAGCAAGGATTGAAAAATCCTTACAGATTAAATTCAAGCCAATTATCAAGCGATTGCGTTGATGGTTCTTTTGCCTCAACGAAGAGGATTTCAAAATTGTCAAGTGTAGAGAAAAGAAAAATTAAAAGAAGAATGA